GGTTGTTCACTTTCATTGATGTACAGAATTCCACTATGCAAATAAACTACAATTTATTGTACTTAACCATTTTTCTAATGTCAATAGACATTTGGATTGCCTTCAGTTTTTTCCTCACAAACAGAGTTGTTATTAGCATTCTTTCAGTGACTGTATATAGAGTTCCCTGCTGAAAATATACTGAGTGGAATATTTGAGGCATAGGATATGTATATTCAGCATTAGTAGGTACTACTGAACACTTTTTTTCCACAAGTAGTTGTACCCTTTATATGCCCACCATCAGCATGTAAAATTTAAAATTATTCTACAGCTTTACCAGTTTTATATCTGTCCCTTTCATTAAGCCATTCTGGTTGGTGTTAATTTGCACTGTGTTCTTAATTTTCATTTCTTAGGTTTCTGCCTTTTATATAATGATTTTTAAAGTTCTTTATATATTTTGATAATTTGTTGGATATATCAGACATTTTTTTCCCTTGTGACAGAACTCAGGACCTTGCGCTTCCAAGGCAGGCAGCAGAACCACTGAGCTAAATCCCCAGCCCCCCTTTTTATTTTCTTAATAAAGTCTTTTGAGGGAACAGAAGTTCTTAATTACTTATTTTTTCCTTTATGGTTAGGTCCTGGTGTGTCCTATTTAAGAAAGTTTTTTCAACTCTAAGAAAGATATTGCGAGGTTGGATGCAGTGGCACACACCTATAATTCCAGCTATTCTGGAGGCTGAGACAGGAGAATTGCAAGTTTGAGGCAAGCCTGGGCAACCTAATGAAACCTCATCTCAAAATGAAAAACAGAAAGGCTAAAGATATTGCATGCACGAGGCCCTTGTTTCAATACCCAATCCTGCAAAAAGAAATTTTTTAAAGAAAGAAATTATGGTGCCATTTTTCTGTTTTCTTTTGTATACTGTTTGGTAGAAATCAGGAGTTTTAAAAACCATATTATCCAGTCGACCCAGACCTGTTTATTTTAGAAAAACCATAATTAACCGGAGGTCATTGATTATGGGACTATATATATATGGATATGTTTCAGGACCATATTTGAGGAGGAGTAAACTGTTAAACTTATTCTCTGAAAAGAATGCCTGTAATCTGATTCTTTCCTGATGTAGCATTTATTACACAGGTACTATGAACCAGACATCATTTTACCTGCATCATTTAACTTTTAATAGGTCTTCATCTTTCAATGATGTTTCAAAGTCTTTGTTATGCTTACAGGATTTGTCTGCTTCATTTAATTTTAAACTTCATCAATATCTATAGATACTATCACTATCTTATTTTATAAATGAGGAAATAAAGTCTCAGAAAAATAATTTGCCCAAAGTCTCCTAGTTCGTGAATGACAAGATCAGATTCCAATGCAGGTCTGGTTGACTTTGAAGTCAGAAAAGTTTTGATGCAGAGGACAACAATAATGTTGTGTTGGAGGGGTGGAGGATGGAAAGGAATGGGGACCCACAAAAGAGATGGAACAGATAAAGAGTGAAGGGGTGGAGAATGCTAGAAGAAAGTATACAACATTATCATTTTGCATGGAAGAAGTATTTTAATCTTTTATATGTTTTGGTATAGTTTCAAATTCCCATCCCAACTCATCATTTCCCCAAGACAATGTCAGTTTTTCACTTACCTCTTTCAGGTTCATCAAGATACTCATCTTCTTTCAGGTCTCTTCAGCTTTGAAAGCATCTTTAACTTCTGTGCACTTTACCCAATATACCCAATGACTCATAACTTCTACCCTCTATTTCTTCAACTCACTCTTTTTTTTTTTGGTACCAGGGATCAAACTCGGGTCCTTGTGCTTGCAAGGCAAGTGACGGAACCACTAAGCTAAATCCCCGGCCCCTTCAACTCACTCTTCAATTAAATTCTTCATTTCCATTGCCAGCACTTCCTGCCAGTTGTTCTGATAAACTTATCTGACAATTTTTCTTCATGAAAAATAGATTCTAATCTTCTAAATGTCAGAAATTACCATAGGCTTTATTGAAAGGCAATAAATAAGGTGTTCAGTAGTATGAACTTTGGAGTCAGTAATAACTGTGTCCCTATTTACTTGCTCATAACTCTGGGAGAATTAATTTCTTTAAGTCTGTTTCCTTATATGTAAAATGGGGACAATAGTACCTAAAAGTTTTGAACTATTATGTGTGCCACACTGTGCTGAGCAATGAGGACTAAAAAAGTAGAGGAAGACAGACACTACTAAATTATTCATATGTACTTATGTAGTTAATTGCTGCAGAAAGTAATATGTGTACCATGGTAATCCTACCCAGTCTGTGAATTACAATGACAATTTGGTCATGAAAGCCTTCTTTCATCTAAGCTCAGGTTTGAAGGATAAAAAGGAATCAGACAAATATGGAGGGGATTCCAGGTGGAGAGAAAAGTAAATCTGAAGAGGCTGAAGTCTTAGCAAATGTTGTGAGAAACACGTGGTTCTGATTATCTACTGATATATAACAAGCCACTACAAAACATTTAATTTAATTTGCTTATGAATCTGCAATCTGGGTGGGTTCAGCAGAGACAGCTCATTTCTACTCTATTTTAAGTCAGCTACAGAAGGAGACAGAAGAGCCAAGCAAGAGCTCTATTGTCTTTTGCAATTTAGTTTTAGATTTTTCTCTCTCTCTTTTTTTTTTTTTGGTACCAGGGATCGAACTCGGTACCTTGCACTTGTGAGGCAGGCAGCAGAACCACTGAGCTAAATCCCTGGCCAGTCTTAGATTTCTCTTGACATTATTTGTACTGTACTCACTGACATTCCTAGCTGGGTCCATAGGTACCAGCTTGCCATGGAGGAGTAGTGTCATAAGAGAGCATGTGTAGGCCTGGGGATTTAGTTCAGTGGTTCCATCACCTGCGCAAGCGCAAGGTCCCAATACCAAAAAAAAAAAAGTGTAATGGGAAATACTGGTGTGATCATTTTTGGAAAATGAAATCTCAAAGATATACAGTATTAGTAGAATAGACATTTATAGTTTGTATTTCAAAAATTACCTGGTATTATTACCTCCATCACCACCCAATTTCCCTCACCACTACCTCATATCTACCATTTGTTGCTTCATTGGAGTTATACAACATTGATGCATGATTACATTTACTTATTCATTGAAATAACACGTTTTACAGATTGTGAACCACAAGTTCATGCCACTTTCTAGGCATTGGCACATGAAAGAAAATATTGTGGTTACTATTCACATAGTCTGTTTTTCTTATTAGTCAACCCTCAAGGTTAAAGAATGGCGTTTATATGTTTATAGCCCTGATAACCATGCGAATCCTTTGCCCAGAGTAGGCACTTAATAAATATTTGTGTGTTTTACTATTGTTGAGCTATAATTGCTAATTTGAAATTTTCTGATCAGGTAGATTTTACACCATTTTCATTGTTTTAAATTCAGATCACGTGATCTATCCCTAGCATGTATTTTCACTCTACTCCTTTTCAGTAGCTGCTCAAAGCAAAAAATAAAAATCTTTGCTTAAATGGACTGTAGTGACAGAAATGAAATTCTTAGAAATGTTGGAACCAGAAGCTACTTCCCACACAATCCATTCGTTGGGGGCGGGGCTCTGGGTCTTCAGGAGAGGCAAGTACCACCCAGTTTTAAACCCTCACTAGGTTTGCACCTCTCTTTCCTTATTTATTTAAAAACAAGGCTCTTAGCAGCACAGAGTTGTTGGAAGAGTAAAATGAAGCAACAGTCAAAAAGATACTAGAGAGGAAAGAAAAATGCTACTAAATGTCTAATATTGGTAGAAAGGAAATTGGATACAAGATACAGATACGTTTAGTTTTATTAGTAATAAAATTAAAGAACAAAGTATATTTTCAAGATATTTGCCAAAAAAGGATTACTTGACAAAATATTTCAATATAGAATAACATTAAACTGTGAAGCTTCCCATTGCTTTAAATTTTTATGCAAACGTTTCTATTGAAGTATAATCCAACTGCATTTGAAATAATTGCATTTGCAGTTATTTAAGTTACAGCTTTTCAAGATCACATTCACTGCGCTGGGTAAAGCAGGATGTATTTACTGTCAAGGATAGGAGCCTTGAACTGAGAAGGATATTATCTACTGTTTAGGGCAAAAGATGTACAATGAATGTGCATTAAGTGCCAAGGTTTTCTGTAAAAAGGGCCTGTTGCAGACGCCAGAGGCATGCCAATTCAATTGAACAAATATTTAATTAGGGTTTGTGATTTCCAAGTCACAGATTGGGTACTGAGGAGGAATCAAAAATGAATTACTGCAGATGCCTGAGGGAGACAAGACCTGAACTCAGTAACCAGAGTGGAAAGCAGAGTGGGCGTCTTGATGCAGAAAAGGCACAATTCAGGGAGAACCTGGTGGAGCTTAATTTAATTTTTCTTCTTGAATTTTTTTTAAAGATTCTATTTTGGATCTCTTTTCACATGTGCCAGGACCCTGGTTGGCAGAGAAACCACGACTCTGTAAAATCTCTCCTACTTCCTGTTCTTTCTTTCTTTACAAATTCGTTGAGTTCTCCTGCCACCGACACTGCATTTAGAACAGTGTCTATTGTGTGGGTGGTGAAACGATGGAAAGTTATTTTTGTTCTAATTATGAGAACTGTTTCACTGGGAGGAGAGGGGAAAGGGAGAAGCTGATCTGAGGCTGAGATGCTGCCTGAGTATGCTCTGAGGAGGCGTTACTAAGGTTACTAGGCAGAACGGCCGGTGATAGGCAGGCAGGCTTTTTCTTCTAAAACAAAGTATATTTTTAAATGACGGGCGTAGGCTGAGCTGGAGGCAGTATCACACGGTACTACTTGGTAGATTCCTTACAGGGGAAAGAATGGAACCCCAGAAAAAGTGTAGAGGTTGCGCTTCATGAAAAGCTACCAGTCTCGGCTTCCCCTTTCGGGCCTTTTCTTCGGCCACCCTTGTTTCCCATAGGTGTCCTGGTTGTAGCACAAAATCGACGTACCCGGGGACGGTGCCTTTTAGGTGTGACACGCGGCCAAGTCCGACCGGAAGTGGCTCCAGGTCGGAGCCCATAGGGAGAGGGACGGAGTGAGCGGCTGACTTAACGGCGGTGACAAGCTGCGCGGCTTTGGCGTAGGGGGTCGGCCTGTAACTCAGGCTTGATCTATGGTCGCTGCAGCTGCAACAACTCACGGGTCGAACTTGGCAGAGCAGGGAGGCACAGAAGGGAAGGGGTGTGTAAGGAAGGCCGCGAGTATATTTGGTGGCGGGAAGAAGGACCTCGAAACTTGTGCCTCCTTCTTGTGGATTGTAAAAAAAAATTTTTCGGTGACAGATTCCGGAAATACTCGGCGTCTCCGTTTTCGAGATTTTCTGACTCTCGTCAGTTTATTTCGTAGCTTGAAGTGAGTGAAAGCTTTTTATTACAACCACTGAGTATGGGACGTATAAAGCTGCCAGCGGAAAAGAAATGGGGGAGTGGGAGCAAGGGCAGGAAGTGGTAGTGCAGGTAAGGGAGCAAGATGATGATGGTGCTCATAGTTAACATTTACAGGGTTTACTGTACCAGCCACTGTTTTAAAACCCTGTAGATGTGGTAAGTCATTTAATCTTTTTATTAGCCTTATTTTATAAATGGGCAAACGGGCCCAGAAAGGATAGGGACATGCCCAAAGAAAGACGAGCGGAAAGTGCAGACCCAGGCTTTGAATTCTGGTAGACTGATTTTAGAACATGTCGCTAAGCTCCACACCATGTTTTTCCTCCATCAACATAGGAAGAAAGGGAGGATGTGGAACCAGTTCATCTTTGAAGGGTGCAAGCCAGGGTAGGGGTTTTTTGTTTTTGTTTTTGTCTGCCTTAGAGTGTGTCCCAAATTCAATGTAATGCTGGAGCCAGGAGTTTCTTTCCAACACAACTGACAACTGAAGTCTTACAGCATTTCTAATAATGCTACTTAAAAAATGAGTTGAAACAAGATAAAATTGACTAAGCCAAAGGGTAAGTTAGTTTACCTTGAATAAATGTAAAAGAAGGTAGAAATCTTTAGATATGTTGAAAAAGGTACCAGGACAGATTTCACTACTTGATAGTGTATCATTCACAAATACTGTAATTCCTATGGATATGGCTAATCATATTCCAGAGGGGCAATTAGGAATAGTTAAAATTGTGGGCATAAGAATCAAGTAGATCAGTTTAGCTGCTTATTTGCTTTATAAAATTGATTTACTTGATTCATGTCCTTGATTTTTTTCATCACTGGAATGGAGATAATAGCTCCTAACTTCAGAATCATAGGCACTGTTTGTAAAGTACTTAGTACAATGTCTGGAACAATATTGGTGATATAGTCATGCATATCTTAATGATAGGGATACATTCTGAGAAATGTGTCATTAGTTTCAACATTGTGTGAACATCATAGAATATACACAGACTTACATGGTATAGTCTACACATCTAGGCTCTATAGAATAGTCTATGGCTCCTATAAACCTTTACAACATGTACTTAACATTGTAGACACTTGTAACACAATGTATTTGTGTACATAAATGTAGAAAAAAATAATAAAAATACTAGGCAATAGGAATTTTTCAGTGCCATTTTAATCTTATGGGACCAAAGATATATATGATTTGCTATTGAATGAAACATCTGTGGGATACATAACTGTACACAGTAACTTATTAATCTGAGTCAAATAAAAGTGAAGCATTGCTGAACCTTGTATGCAGTCACCTTGCAGTTTCTGGGCCTAAGTTTCAAAGGGAAGGCCAGAGTAACCTCCCTTTTTCTTCTAGTGGTAATTAAAGGTCAAAAATGTTGTTGCCTTTTCTGAAGAGTAAGTTTGTTTCAAAATAAGTGAAAGTTTTAGATGGCTGGAAAACCCATGAACAGTAACCTGCCTACCATGCTTCTTTAAAACAATTGTGGCTTTTTAAGATCTCTTGTTTTTTAAAAATTCTGTTCTTGAACAATTGGCAATTTAGATTCTAAACTTAGGTGTTATACTCCTTTGCAGATGTATGGGCATGGAGGCTATGACTCTGATTTTAGTGATGATGAACGTGGTGGAGAATCCAGCAGAAGGAAAAAAAGGTAAGTAATTTTATTGATCTGTATTTCACATTCTTTCTAGATTGTTATGAGGTATAAATAAATAATACTGAACTTTTTTGGATTGTGTTTGTATGTATGTGAAGGCAGCTGCCTTACTGAATTAATTTTTGTTCACTAAACCATAATAAATTGATTCAAAATTAGAGAATAGTTGTGGGAAAAATAAGAAAATAAAGTTTTGTGATGGGAAGAGGTTTATTGAAAGAGAAGGAGGAAAAAGGAAAGAAATTATAGATCTCAGATTTCTCTTTTGCATGTATTCTTCATTCACCTGTTAAGGACTGTGTACTTGGAAATGTCATAGCTCAGAAGGGTCTTGGTTGGTGCTCTCTTCCTAGTACTTGCCTTCAAGGTGAGGTTAGTGTGGAGGATGAGATTGTAATGAAAGATGATTCTTTTTTTTTTTTTTTAAACCATATCTTTTATTGGTACTTTTTAGGTATGCAATATAATGACATTCATCATTGGAAATTTGCACCTTTTCATAAACTCTCTTAGTTCTTATTTTTTCCCCTTCCCCTGCGATTCCTTCAACCCCTCCATCCCTCCCTATTTACAAAGACTTTGTTTCCATTTTTTCATTTTCTCATATTAATTCCATTCCTTTCTTTCCGTTCCCCTAC